CTCAAAACGTCAAGATCTGCTTTTAATCTGGTGATAAATTACTAACTGAATTAGGCATGTTGCTCCCTAACCCTGGGGTCCGCAGGGTAACCCTCTTCTAGAAGAATGTCATGTTGGAGGCAGAAATGCTAGTGTTGCCCCTTCACACCTCTATGTGTAATTTTTCTTGGCTCCAGATCAGTTAGATAAACTAGAGTTTAATTGGCCCCAAAACTGATCCAGCATTCGATTCAAAGCTGGGGAGATAGTGGACGTCAGTGATGAGACAGAACACAGGCAGGGGAACAAGGCTCTGGGGTAGGGCTGAGGAGGCTAGTCCTGATGGTCACACGCTGTTCAGAGGGCAGAAGTCTTCCTCTGCAACATGGTGGGCTTTTGTTCTTGTTTCCCGTTTTTTTGTTTGTTTGTTTGTTCCATATAGCCAAGGAAAAGGGAATAAAACCCTAGAACTTCTGACCTTAGAATTCCAGCTTTCTTAAAGCTAGCCTGTTAAAATCCAAATGGAAAAGCCATTATTTTTGGTGTCTCCATCACAGTTCAGAAGACTAATGCTGTGCAGTCCGTAATTCAAGGTGGCCAGCCGCAGCAGTGAGCCCCTGACACATAGCGTTGGCTCTATCACTGTGTCCCCCGCTGTCGGATGTCCCCACAACACAGGGGCTACCTTTAGTCTCTGCAGGAGCTAGGAGTGAAACACACACAAGTTGGGGCAATGCGCTGACATGTATTTGACCCTAGTACTTTCGACACCAGGCTACGTTGGTTCCCTTTGGAGTGTGATGTGGGCACAGAGCTTTTCCCCTTCTCACGTGTTTCTTGAAGAAAACAGTATTGCAGCGTCTCTACAGGGACCCTCAGCCCCGCCTCCCAGGACTCGGAGGGTTCGGCTCTGTCAGTGACTTACAGCTGTCTTTATCAGCTGGGACAGTCCCTGCTGTGTTCAAGCAGCTGTCAAATATTAATAGTGTTCCTGAACATAGGATTGGTAATGTTTTAACTATAATTGTCCTATCTTATAGCTAGGGGTTGCTGCTCACTCTCACCATGACCCGTTCATAAATTAGACCTTATTGTAATCATGTCTATAGAGAACCAAAACACACCGTATGAACTGATTAGCACTGTCTGAACTCGGTAGGGTACTGTATTATTTCAAGAGGTGTCACTGTACACATGGAATGGAAACAGCTGGTCTTGTTTATACTTCTTTAAAATGTCTGCAACTCATGGCCTGCTATAATCACAGATTCAAAGATCACAGTGAAAGGCAAGGTGTGTTCGAAAGTGTTGTTGCGTTGTTTGGCACGGTGACTTAAACGTCTCTAATCCCGTCACCTGGGAGGCAGAAGGTGGATCTCTGTGAGTTGGAGGCCAGCCTGGTCTACACAGTGAGACAATGAGTTCCAGGCCAGCCAGAGCCTGAGGGGCTACCCGACTCCTGTCACCACCCTTGATGCTTCCCTGATTGTGCATGGCGGGGGACACATTTGAATGCTGTTTCTTGTGTAGCCTGTCTTTCTCCCTGCCCCCTTGCTTCCTGAACACGTCTGTGGTCTCATTTCCAGGGAAGCTACCCTGGTCCCTAGGCAGACCTGGTCACTCCTGTCTCCACCATACCCTACAAGAGCCCCACTTCTGTGCCTGGAACTGCACTGGGTCCACAGTCCCAACCCCCACCCACATCAGGTCTCATTCTTCGTGTGCACACCCCCTCAGTGGCAGGAACTGCAGCCACCCCCGCCCCAGTCACCAGAGTCAGGGGCAGGGCATCTCTGCCTCTTGTGTAAGACCCTTCACGGTTCTCCCGTGCATTCTCTTTTCCTTGTGTGACCTCTCTCCCTCTCTTTTCTTCCCACTTGGATGTTGGGTTCAGCCTTTTTACTCTGCCAAGCTGAAGAAGACTTTTTGGCCATCTCTATTTACCTGGAAGAAGTCAAAACTTCACCTAAACCTTCATGGAGGCCAGGCCTGTCTTTCCTCTAGCCCGCCCCTTTCCCACTTCTCAGCACTCCCAGAGCAAGAGGAGGGGTTCTTTCTGTACACTGCATTTGCTGTTCTAGAGCGCTTTTTATAACCACCTTACCCCCCTCCTTCTCCCCACACACTTCTTCCCCCACATTCCCTTTCTCTCTCCCTCTCCCTTCTCTCCCTCCCTCCTTTTTTTGTTTGTGAAGGAAGCTTAAACTCAGGGCAGCCTGCCTAGCTCAGCCTAAGTGCCCAGATTACAGGCCTGAACCGCCACAGCTGGGTCCTTTTCGAAACCTCCTCATCTCCCTGAGACCTATGTCAAGTCAGAGTGTGAGTGAGGCTGCTCCAGGAAGCCTCCCCCTTTCTCTGAGTCCCACTTACGCCCCTCCCACGTGAACTTTCACAGCCCCCTGTACTTCCCCATCATAGCCCTTCTCGCGCTATATTTAACTGTCCACTTAATTGGCCCTTTCCTTCCCATTAGTTGCGTCTGGGAGGTGGGAGAAGAGAGATGAAGGAGAGAGACAGAAATCAAGTTGCTTGTTCGTGGATTTTCCTCCAGCAAAAAGTCTAAGTCCTTAACAAATTCTTAGGATTGATAAACAAATACACGGATGTTTGCTTTCGCTATTGCCGATGCTAACTCAAACTTTGCCGAGACATCTGGTTCTTCATCTTCTAAAGGTCAGAGCAGGAGCAGCCGAAGCAACACCAGGTTTCTACCCCCACTCAGGGGCTGACACCAGCTTCGGCCTCAGGGCTGCCAGGAGCAGCTTTTCCACGGTGGCTGCTTTTGCTGATTGACTTTCCGAGTGTGCACAGCGACTTCCTCATGGGTCATGTGTTTTTCCAAGACTTACAGGAACTCACCCCAGAGAGTCCAGGAAGTTCCCCATGTGTCTCTAAATGCCTCCTTCAGAATTCCTAAGTCAAAGGTCCCAGGACTGAAACTTTGCCTGTGAGGCTCCCTATGGAGCTGCAGCCTAAATGGTGCTCAAGGGGGCAGTATAAGGAACAGTGTGTTGGGTCGGGTGGCAGGTAGGGTAGACCTGAGGCTCCAAAGTCCTCATGAGCCAGAGCCAGAGTGAAGGAACCCAGCAGTCCTGTGGTATTGGGTGGCAGCCAGGTAAGCAGGGCAGTTCCTTTCTCTTGGGGCTATGAGTACTTCCTGTCTCGTTCATGTGACCCACGTGGGCTAGTGGAATGTAAGCAGAGATGAGCATGTGGCCCTGAAATACATTATTGGCTCTTATACTCCTTTAGTCCCCAGTGAGAAGGACACGCTCTGGGTCACCGTGTTTGGTCCTCGGGTATTGATTTTGGATTAGTCTGGGCTGCCTCTTGGAGATCTAAGCGTATGTGTACATAATTTGGAATTCAAAAGTGGTTGATTCTGGAAACGCACATAGTGGTTGTTATATATGTGGCGTAACTAAAGTCTTCGGGCAGCCAAGTTGGTCAAGGTGATAAGGGTGGGAAAAGAATCTCCTCATGGAATCATGGCTTACAGGTTGGAGAAACAAGAAGGAATTAAAGAGGAACCAGAAAGAGAGCAGAAAGAAAGGGGGCGGAAAACCAGGCCAGCCGTGGACCCTGAAGGACAGGTAGACGGTTCAGAGTTGTGAGACTGGGCAGTGCCCACTTATGTCTGACACTGCAGGCAGGCCAGTGAGGTGAGCCTAGAGACCTGGCCTGGTGGTTTAGAGACAGAAAAACCACTGGTGTTCTTGAGAAGCCATCCTATGTAGTCCTGGGGTCAAGGGCTTCAGCTGAGGAATCCAGGAAAGAAAAAGAAGGGAGATAACAGGAGGTTCAACAGTCCTTATTAAAAAAAAAAAAAATCTCAAAATCAGGCTACAGCCAAAGGAGGAAGTGGCATCAAGAGAGGTTTTTTTTTTTTTTTAAGATGTGAGAAACGTTAATGTTGATGGGAAAGACCCAAGAGAAAGAAGAAAGAGGTGATGTAGCTGAGCTAGGGGAGAGGGGAGGGCTCGTGCAGCAGGGAGCAGGAAGCTGGGTCATCAGTAGACAGTATGAGAGGGAGGAAAATGCACTCAGAGCTGGCCAGTGGGAAGGGAGCGAGTGGGCCTGGATGTGTGGCCTGGATGCGGTGATTATGTGGAGAGGCCTGGGGTCTGCAGGGTCCTTCCCTGAAGTCCCTGAAGTACCTCTGTTGATTGCTACATTTACAGATGAGGGCCTCGAAACAGGAAATAGTCAAGGAACAGACCCAAAGCTGCACAGCAAGAAAATGGTAAAGCTGGGATGTGAACACCAGCAATCTGTTTCTAGACGCTTTAACTGCTAGGTCAAGCTGGCTCCATTAAAGATGTGAAAGCCTACCACAAGCTGAACTAGGTAGAGTGAAGGCTGAATTAGAGATTGTGGGGTAACTACCGTGTGCCAAAAATTTGTATCAGGGGCTTCTGCAACAACTCGGTACACCCACGGTCGGTTAGGAGCCCGTTTTTCTGAAGAAGACATGGAGGCCCAGGAAGATTTTTCCAAAGGGGAAGGGAACCTGGGTCATTAACAGTGGGTCAGGTTGTAAATACCACACCATGTACACAAGGTGGAAGAAGCATTAACCCTCTGCATGGTTCTGCCCAGCTGGAGTCAACTTTATCAGCGGAGTGTGTCCTAGTCCCCCATGCTTCAGGAGGGGACACCAGGAACCTTTATCCCAAGCAGGTGAGAACTATGCAAGCCCCACACAGCAGGGATTTTAAAGAATTTTAAAGCTTTCTGCCTGACTGCCTGAGCACTGAATGTTTGAGGCAAGAGCACAGGAGTGGAGGCACGTGCTAAGAGCCTTGGGATTCTCTCTCTTTTAAAATTAAAACCACACACAGCCTTATGTCACAAACACGCTCTAGCTTTACAAGAATTTCTAAATGTCTTCTGAGGAAAGTGTGCTCATAACGCCACAACGCTGAAGCCACCCACTTCCTCAAAATTGCAAGGAAGCAGACAGTTAAAAAAAAAAAGCAGAGGCTGTTGTTTATCACAACTTGGCTTCAGTAAGGCCTGAGATTCTTCCGCGCAGCGCCCTGCTTCCCACAGGGCAAAGCGTCAACTGGGATATTTCTGGTAAAACTCAACGCAAAGCAAGATGCCAGCCCTGGGGGACTGTGGGTGGGATTAGAGGAGCTTGGGTGCCATCTCCAAGTGACAGATGGATGGACCTTCCGTCTGAGAGAAAGGAAGAGACACGTGGGGAGATCAGCCTGGTACGTAAGAGTGCCTGCGAAGCAATCACTAGGCAGAGCAGGCAGACGAACCGAAGGGAAGATCAGAAAAGCCAGAAGGGCACGGACTGTTACACACTGGCCACTTGACCAGCCACTCACCCAAATCGGAAGCAAGATGTCCCTGAAGTTGCCAAGGAACTGGGATTTCAACTTGAAAGCGGAGGCTGCGAAAATAGGTAAGGTCCAGGTCTTTTCCTGCAGGGGGTCTTATGCTTGAGCGCCCACTATTTGCATGCCGGGCTGTGGGAGCTCAAGTCAGTATGAGCAACAACACTGAGCTGGGTGGAAATTTGCATCCAGGTAGATGTGTTGTCTGAAGTCTCAGAGTGCTCTCCTGCCCAGAGGTGGGGTCCACGGATCAAGAGAACTTTGGTGGTCTTAGGCTGTGTCTTGTATACAAAGTTGAGATTTCATTGATGTCTCTGACTCGGGAAGTCGTCTATCAACTGAATGGCTTCAGTAAGAGCACAGAGATTGCAGTATTTAGTGATTCATCTGTGAGTGAGTTTAGGTGAGTGTCACATTTGTGAGCCCCGGGGTCAGCGAGGGGCTGCCTGCGGGAAGGAGGAGACACGGAGAATGAGGCAAGAGCATGGAGACTTTTGAAGAATGAGAACAGCGTTGTAGAGGTAGAGAATGTGAGTGAGCTCAGGAGAGGTGGAAAAGACAGACTTGGAACATTCTGAGACGTTCTGGCTCTCAGCTCATCCCGTTTTCCTCTAACGACGACAATGACACATTGGCTCAGATCTATTGTTGGTTATTATATAGGTGTCTTTTTATTTGTTTGTGTTTTTAGACAGGGTCTTGTTATGTAGTTCTAGCTGGCCTAAAACTTGCTATAGAAACTCCTATTCATAGAGACCTATCTGCTTTGCCTCAGTGCTGGAATCATCGACATGGCTTGCATATTTCATGTTTCTTTTCCTATTAGATTTTATTTTTAATTTGGTCACAGTCAGATGAAACAATTGGGCTGAAAGTGGTCGACTAGGTTACACACACACCATCTACACCGTGAGAGAACTCTATTTTAGACATTGGTGTTAAGGTGCTTGCCGCAGCTTGGAAGGATTTTGCTTGGAGGAAAGTTTAGGCCGATGGTTCGTGGTAGTCGGTGTGTTAAATGGTCCACTGGAAGCTCACAAATGGGAAGCAGGTCAGAAAAAGGGCTTTGAGATTAAACTGAAAGTAAGCCGAGGAGTCATTCATCTTGGTGAGCGGAAGACCGCATTACCAAACAAAGCTGGGACTGTGCTGGGCTCAGTCCAGAGATGAGAAGCAGGCAAGCGGTCTCTGTCCTGTCCACACAGACATCCGTGTCTGGTGTTCACCCTAAGCTATTCACATCCAGTTTGAAGGTAAAGTCCATGACTGGGTCCCCGTGGAAATGTCCTGCCCTCCCGTGTAAAGGCACCTGCTCCCCCCCCCCCATCCATGTTTTAGCTGCAAATGGGAAACGCGAGAGAATAAACATTAGATTATTTTCAGAGATACAGAAAATCAGCACATAAGATTCTCAAGCCTGGGGTTACATGGATAGGAATTTTAGATTTCTACCACTGATGGGCTCAGGAGGGGACCTTGGGATCCTGCACTCTTGTGAGCATACACCTGGTGAGCTTCAGCTTCCAGGGCTAAGTGCACAGGTTAGGGTCATTGTACACGCAGTACGGGGGCACAGGTTAGGGTCACTGTGCACACAGCATGGGGCACAGGTTAAGGTCACTGTGCAGGCAGCATGGGGCACAGGTTAGGGTCACTGTGCACGCAGCACGGGGCACAGGTTAGGGACACTGTGCACTCAGCACTGAACCTAGTGCCTGCACCAACTGGGCAGGGTTTGTTGACTGAATGAAATCTGATTATCAGAAGGCCATATTATTCAGTGTTACTCAATAACTTATAATAATAAGTACCTAATGTCATTACCCATGTCATCTACATGTTTGTCACCATGTGGCAGAGTGTCATACGAACTGGCATCCATTTCATAAGTAGCCCCCTCTGAGGAGAAAGAGCTTGATTCAGTTGTGAGATCTTCAGTCCTATCTCCCATGACCAGATACAGCGGTAGGGATCCATTTGTCTATATGTCCGAGAAGCCACCTCCATAGGAAGGGCTGTGTAATTAGGAGTCTCACAGGGAAGTCAGGGACTGTGGTTTGCTGTCCTGGGTAGTATGGTGGAGGGGGCTCGGGGCTTCTCTGCCTGGCCACTGTTGATATTTGTGCCTGGGTAATTCTTATTACCAGGGCTTTCCTGCACGCTGTAAGGCAGTTGGCAGCATCCCTGGCCTCTACCACCACGCACCATAGCAACCAAAAATGTCTCCAGACATTGCCAAGTATCTCCTGGGGAGAGGAGGCTGTAATATTTTCCCTGGACCACTGTACCAAAGGGTTACAGTTATAAGGCCATGGGCATTGGAGCCCATACATCATATAGTTCAGTTTTTAGGAGGCTTTTGTTAAGATGTGACTTGAAGGGGATGAGAGAAAGCTTAAGAGTTCCAGGAATGGCTCTTGATGGGAAAATATAAGACTCAACCAGTGTGGAGCACAGCAGGGAGCTGCTTTTCCTTTCGGTTCCTCAAATCTTGAGTGCTGAACTAGGGCAGAGGGAACACCAACATCTCTGAGACTGGGGAGGACTCAGCAGCTATGATTTTTTTCTCAGAATATGGAGGGTACCCTTGGAGTAAGTAGCAGAATTGCCAGGAGATCCCCACCATGGCCTGGGTGCTCCTGGGGCAGAGATGAGAGAACATGAATGAGGCCACCTTACTCTGACCCATCAATCCTAAAGAGGAACAGGAGTTAGAACTAGAGGGTAAAGGCGGTGATCAGGACTTGAGGTGGGACCAGGAGCACATCTTTCTTCTTGGGATGAGACATCATCCACCACTTTAGTCTAGCCATTTGGACTATGACAGCCTGCCACTGTGTTCATGTTCATATCTGGTTTTCTAACATGTACATGTTTGTACTCCCTCCCTTCTGCCTTACTGTGTGTGCCGTGTGTGATGTGCACACGGAGGTGAGAGATCAATCTCAGCCATCATTCCTCTCACCGGCCTGGAGTTCACGCAGGCTCGGCCCCACAGATGTGCCTGTCTCTGCTTCTCCAGGGCTGGAATTGCAAACACGAAGCACAGATGGATACATAGATACACAGAAGTGAGTGGATAAAGACATCTCTGAATTACTGGACAGTAGGTAGACAACGCAAATAGTAATACTTGACCAATAACCTTATGAAAATATGTAATCTCACTCTTCAGAGGGTGCAAGTAAGAAGCACCGTGGCAATTCATTCTCATCTACTAAATCAAATAAACAAGAAAACCAGTTAATTCCAAGTGTTGTCCATGACATGGTGCAAAGAGGAATCAAGCCATTGAGGAGAAGCGCTTGACATCAGCCTGAGCTGATGATCCACAGCTCTCCCCATGTCGTCTTTATCCCCTGAGACCACATCCTAGAGAAGCCCTATGCATGTCAGCAGATTAATGTGCAGGAGAAATCTGTGTGTTCGTCAGCAAGGGAGTGGCTTAATGCTCGGTAGCATCTTTATGAGATGGAGCACGGTACAAGAGCAAATACTTGTGGTTATGCACAAGTGAAGCTGACCAGCAGTGACTTATTTTGGAGTTCCCAGAAGAGAGCGAAATGCACCCATATCCAGCTTAAAAAGTACATAGGCTTATAGCAAAACTATAAAGGAAAACAGAACTACATGATGTAAAATTCAGGGTTATTGCTCTTTTGGGAAAGAAAGGATGAAAACCAGATGTGTGCTGAAGGTCCTAGCTCAGCAATCCGCACACGTGTGGTTCTATGTCAAATGAACAATACCGCCACAGCTTCCAAATACATGGTAAACCATCAAAGACATGCAAGGTTTGTGAACAGTGGTTAACTATGGGAAGACTTCACCAGTGAGAAACACTCACACATGAATGTGTTATTACGGAGACTTAGACTAAATGCTTAAATTAAGTGTCATGTATAAGGAACAAGTGTTACTGTGTCATTAAAAATGCCCCTTCCCAAGTGCTTGACCAAACAAGTTGGCCAAGGTCTTCACAGAACACAATGATCCTTTAGCGATGGGCCCCAAAGCTCTACATTAGCTGTAGAGGCTCCCCTGGGCTAGGACCCGCCCTTGTTCCCCCCCACATCTCCCAGATGTCCCAGGGAACAAGTAATTCTTGAGTGAGCTCCATCATTCTACAGCTGCCGGGTCAGCCTGCTGGAGTTCGCCTGGACACTGAGATGCTACTGCTCCCAGTAAGGCATAGTGACGCCTCATGGTCCAAAGCCACCTGAGACAGACATGTTTGTGGGTTCAGTTTTAGAGATCTATTTCCACTTGTCAAATGTAACAGATGCTGATCCAGACCAGCCTGCCTCTCGATCACCGAGGTCTATTTTCTGCACACCACTGTGCTCCCTGCGCTGAAGATTACCACACAGGCAGCAGGGTCCTGGCTAGGAACACACCTTCCTTCACTGTCACCAAGGGGGGTACTCGGTCCAGGCACCACACCTGTCTTTCTGCAGAGGTTACATCATTGTCCCTAGGCTATTGTCAACTTACTTCTAAGTTGTTAATGTTAAGTGGGGGACAGAGTCTTTCGGTCAGTTGGGTAATGAAAGCCAAGTGTCCCCTCTGGGTCTCCTGCAGTGGTTGCTGGGAGAAGATGGACTTTAGAGGTACATGGAAGAAACACCTGTTTTCTACCACTCACACACTGAGTGCCACCTGCAGACACTGGACAGTCTATGCTTCCTGCTAGATTAGGAGCTGAGTGGCAAGGTAGGTGACTCAGAATCCAAGTCTCTTAAAAGGGTCTGGGTTGAGATGGCTCTGGCCTGGGCATGACAGCCTTCAGTAGCTCACAGGAGTTCTGCACATCATGTCTGTCTCTCACACTGATGTTCACAAAGCATTATCAGAGTCCCTTGGGAGAAAGCCAGGGGGATTCTATGCAGCAGCAGTGGTGAGGATTCGGGGATCTGATGGGAAGGATAAATTGGTAACAACAGTAACTGGAGACTGCATTTTCATTTCCTGGCTGCCCAGTCCCCACTAATCACACAGAAACTTTTATTAATTACAGTTTGGCCTATTAGCTCAGACTTATTATGAAGTAGCTCTTACAACTTAACTC